CAGTGTCACGTGACCGGTACGTTCAACCTCGAAAGCGAAACAATAGGCCGGCCCTTTGAAGTTTTGCCGCCTTCCTAACCATCTCCCTCTATTAACTATGGAATGTATTTATTAAAACTTATTAGCACTACAGTAAAGTTCTTCAATTCACATTGTGGATCATTTGGATCATTGTGGATCATTTGTGACTACAATCTTGCAGTACAGTATGCCTATGCCATCTTGCTGTGAAACATGCTTGTTAAGAAAAATAGTGCAGTACAGTAATCTCTCTTTTTTTTTCTTCAGTGGAGCTAGTACTGGCACTAGTTGATTTTAGAATTAAGAACCTATTTTAACTTTCTTAGGCTAAATAGGTTCTTGTTTATAGGGGGTATAAATAGCAAATTTTAGGCTAACAGGTTCTTAATTTGTAGGTTCTTACTTGCGGGTGTTTACTGTACCCCTCTTGGTGCTATTTTTAGATTTTCCCGTCATTCCCCGCGCGCCGAGTTGTGAAGAGCCGCCGGCCGCCGTCAGGTGTTTGTAGATTGAATTTTATATCTGTAAAAGTGAAGAAATTTTCGCTTTTACAAAAACTATTTTGTAACAAAGGTTCAATGGCACCATTAACTATTATATTTAAATGTCTAAAGATAGTGAAAAGGTATAAAAAATAAGCGAAAAAGCTCATACATGAAAGAATCGAAATCGTTTCTTTTACCGAGAAATCTGATCAAAAAGCATGACAGTGAACACAAAATAATCTATTCTTATAATGAGTTCTTCATCTAAGAAATGTGACATTTAATAAATTTGTTTGTGACAGTTTTGTACAATATTTTTCATCTAAACAAAAACTCTTCACAAATGAAGTTACATTATTAAGCTTTACGGAATTTCGGCGCCTTTTTCTTGAACAGCCGATAAACAGTCCTCTAAAATGTTGTTGTTTTATGGCCATATAAATTAGTCAACACAAAAAGAGTTCCATTCAATGTCCATTTGCATGTAAAAATTTGCAAGCTTACTTGCTTCAGTACAATTTGAACCTTCGTTCCTCGTCTTCAACAGCCATATGATTTCAAATTCTGGTTATCAGTTAAAGATCCAGAGTGTGATTTGAGTCGATTTTTGTTGCTTTTGCTGTCCAATGAATTTTGTTGGTCTTTGGCTGCTCAATGAAAAGTTCATAACTTAAGCTTAAAATAAGTTGTTGGTTGTTGTTTTTTCTCCAGATTTTCCCCTGTATTCCCAAGAGTAATTACACCTGTTTTCTATCACTGGCTTCCTCATCGGCTAAATATGAAGCGAAAGGTGATTCTGCTTTCCTTTTTTGGGACATATTTCTACTAAAAGTTAACTTTAAACATCCTGAAAATGAATTTTGAAATAGTCTAGTACTAAGATCTTCCTCGCCGGCGGTCGACCGGCGGCCGTCGGTCATTCAGAAACCTATTGTTCAAGTCGCTTTCTGATTGGCTGTTTTGCGCTGAATTTATAATGAGCAATTCTAAAAATAGCACCAAGAGGGGTAAATGCCGTTCCAAGAGCTTATGAAGAAGAGGAAGGCTCCTAGTAATGGGCTCCTG